ATGATTCTTCAAATAGTAGCCTGCTCCTTTTTGTTACAGTCAAAGATCCTTAACTAAGATCAGCTATGTTGCATGGTCATGTTCTTAGTGACAGAGCAATGAGTGTCAGGCTGGTAAGTTAAAAAATTTGTGACGTAATTAAGGAGCCTTGAACCATTAGCTTTATTCATTTATTCACTTGTTTATTGCATTATTTTGACAACAAGTGGTTCCTTGACTTATGTGGGAGGATGTATCTGTTTAAGGTTACCAGCAAGGAATTTCTCCTAACTTTAGCCAAAAATTTGAGAGAAGAAAGGCGATGAAAACGTATTTTCTGGTTTAACACCAAATCCTTTCTTTGAGAAATGTATGGCAGACAATGTAAAGAATTGATTGTTAGTTCTTGGGATTGGAAGGGTCAAAATGATTTAATGTTTAAGTAAGGTAAAAAATATGATTTTTAGTTTTTCTTTGTTATAGAGCTAAAGTAATTTGTACCAGGAACAAATGAAAAAAATTGAACTTGTTTTAAATCCTTTTGACCTGAAACTTGTTTTGGATTTCAATGTAAACATATGCTCTATTTCTTTATTTTATTTTTTCATTTATTTTCATGCATTTACTTCATTGAAAATTATGTAGAAACATGGTGTGTGTTGGAGGGGGGTGGGGGGAAGGGAGGCAACTGTGATTGATGATTGACTAGCATCCAGTTCATGAAAATTAAAGCTCAGTGTTTAGCAGCTTAGATATTGCATTGAGCTCTGGCAGGCTTAGAAATCATTCTCAAATTGATACTTAAGCACTTTCCTCACAGCCACAACAGAATGAAAATCCATTTTTTTCCCCTCAAGGATCGCAATGCACCCATTATGCAGCAGCTGAGTAACTTGGGTGTGAACAATGCAAACATGGGTCGTGGAGGAGGAGGAGGAGGAGGGGGAGGAAACAACATGAACCCCATGGCAGTTCTTCAGCTGCTTCAGAGTCTTCAGGGTCTGAGTACCCTGGCACAGTTGACCAGTAATCTTGGTGCACTGGGCGGCAGTGGTTTGGCTTCGGGTGGTGGTTTTGGTGGAGGGGGAGGAGGCTCTGGTGGTATGGGTGATTCCCCTGCTACTAACCCCCTGGCTGCTCTGAGTGGATTGGGAATGCTGGGCAATACTCTTGGTTTTGGTGGAGGAGGTGGTAGTGGTGGTGGCAGCAGTAGTGGAATGGGTGGGCTTAGCTCATCACTCCATAGCGACAGTGGAGCTTCAGGAAGACAAGTCTTTGTCAGGAATGTAAGTAACTGAATCTAAGATATAAATTGTTAAATTGGAAAAAGAGGGTTTGGTTGAAAAAGTATAACTTTAGAGCATGAATGTCTCATTAAAAGTCTGTCTTGTCTTCATCATACCTTACTATGAATTATCAGAATACACGTCCATGAGTTTTTTTCGCTCATAAGATTGCTCTTCTTGTAGCATGAAAGATGATTT